GTGGGATGTGTTGACAATCCGTTCAGTCTGTACTTCACACAGCGTGACGTGTGAGGGCTCGCGCTCTTCAGAGACAATCACAGAATATGACAGAGCTCGTGTTTTAAAGCCAAACACATTGGAATGAATAATTCCCTGAAAACGCAAAGCGAGTCTCTGTTCTCTCTGCAATCTCTAATGTAATCAGCCTAGTTTCCTTCATATTAGCGCTGTTTTGGACGAATTGTTTGAATGCATTCACTTACTGGATCATTGAACTGAAAACTTTCCCGGAATTTAGAGGTTTAAAATGATCTAATCACAAGCAGAGAAATAAAATTGGGTTAAAGGGTTAGAATAGAAATTGTGCTTCAGTAATTTTGCGTTAATTGCGTTAAATTATTTTAACGCGTTAAGGATTGTAAAATTAATCGCATGCGTTAACGCGTTAACGATGACAGCCCTACTATGAATATAAAATTCAAGAAACTGGAAAACTAGACACCAGTTTTAAATTTTCTTACATTTTGGTTGCACAATCGACCACATTCAAAAACCCTTGCATTTTTATAATATTATTTTATAAATTATTCATAAATTAATGTTAAATTCTAAGTCACAAAGATCCTACAAAAAAGCTTCATTTCAAGTTAATTATACAAATTACAATATATTTTTATTTCTTGTTAAAAGAAATTTTAAATTTTGGGATAAAACAAGTATCTATGAATATGAAATACAAGTCACTGAAACTGGAAACCACATCTAGACCACCAGATGCAAAATATAAAATCTGTTACATTTCGATTGCATGATCAACCGCTTTCACAAACCCCTGACTTTTCCCTCCACATCCTTCTGATGCAGCAACCACATTGAAATCAATGAATCCACAGCATAAACTAAAGGCTAAAACAGACACGCTGTGGCATAACACATGACACGACTCTTCACTGCGTTTGTGTGTTTCGTTTGCCACCAGTGCAGTTCTCTCATTTCACAGACACAAATAACATCCATGAGCGTCAGGAAAGAGTTCACCTGGGAGACCCGCAGCCCACGGGCTCCTAATTTAGACCGGAGCGGTCCAGATATAGCGTGGGTGCAGATGTCTGTCTGCCTGTGGCCATTCCACACCAGATTGCACAGACCATTACCCTCATAGAGAGATGCTTATCACCCACAAGGGCTATTAACCTATATAGGGCCTGGGAAACAGAGCACGCTGCCGTAGTAATGGCTAAACCTCCTTTACACAAGGATGTGCTTATAAACAGATGCGAGTGAATGAAGGAGAATGGATAGATTGGTGTTTCCAACATCTCCAACAGTGACGCCCATCTTTTCCAATATTTTTCTCATTCATTTAGTCCACAGGCATCTCAAAAATCTCTTTACTGAGTCAGAAGAAAAACCAACCAACTCTCAGATGAACCAAAATACTAAAATATGTGACCATGGACCACAAAACCAGTAATAAGGGTCAATTTTTCGAAATTGAGATTAATACATCATATGAAAGCTGAATAGATAAGATTTCCATTGATGTATGGTTTGTTATGATAGGACAATATTTGGCCGAGATACAACTATTTGAAAATCTGGAATCTGAGGGTGCAAAAAAAATCTAAATATTGAGAAAATCGCCTTTAAAGTTGTCCAAATGAAGTCCTTAGCAATGCATATTACTAATACAAGTTTTAATATATTTACAGTAGGAAATTTACAACATGCTCTTTACTTATTATCCTAATGATTTTTGGCATAAGAGAAAAATAATTTCGATAATTTTCAATAATTTTGACCCATACAATGTATTTTTGGCTATTGCTACAAATATACCCCAGCGACTTAACACTGCTTTTGTGATCCAGGGTCACATTTTTCATATCTGAAGGATAAAAAGACTAAGGTACATGAATGTGACCCAGTTAACAAAAATATGTTCTAAGAATGTTTTGCTAACGTTCCCATTAAGATCATTAACATTCAATACGTTAAAAACATTTTTTCTTGGTTACGCGAACGTTAAGGGAATATTCCGTTTTAGCATTTTGCAAACATTATGGAAACGTTACTGTTGAATGTTCTCTGAACGTTCCGAAACAAGTAGTAACATTTTAAAAAATGTTAGTCGAACATTCAACTAAAACGTTTCAAAACAACATTTCATGAACTAATTATTTTAATTTTGAACAAACATTCTATTAATAATACTGAAAGAACGTTTGTTTATAAGTTTAATAGAGCCTTGCAAAAAATTATCCAAATGCTATAGGTAAATAACCAGAAGAATAAGAACTTGCAGTAAACAGTACAATCCATTGTTTATCATTACGACAATACATTAAAATAATATGATAATACCAGTTTGCAATATCAAGCAGCATAATGATCTTTGGTAGGCCTACCGCTAAAAATGACACCAGAAGTATCGCACATTCACATTACAAAAAGGCCGTGCCCGTTCTTCACGTTAAAAATTTGACTTGACTTAGACTTAAAGGGTTAGTTCACCCAAAAATGAAAATCCCGTCATTAATTACTCACCCTCGTGCTGTTCGAAACCCGCAATACCTTCGTTTATCTTCGGAACACTATTTAAGATATTTTTGATGAAATATGAGGGCTCTCTGACCCTCCCATAGACAGCAAGGTAACTACCACGTTCAAGGTCCAGAAAAGTGCCAAGATGATCGACAAAGTAGTCCGTGTGACATCAGTGGTTCAACTGTAAAGTTACAAAGGTACGAGGATACTTTTTTTGCGCAAAGAAAACAAAAATAACGACTACTGCGTCACTGCATCATGACGCGAGCGTGTGGCGGCGCTGACCCAGATCCGGCGTAATGATGTCATCAAAAATGTGGAATAAAGTCGTTATTTTTGTTTTCTTTGCGCAAAAAAAGTATTCTTGTAGCTTCGTAACTTTACAGTTGAATCACTGATTTCACACGGACTACTTTGTTGATCATCTTGGTACTTTTCTGGACCTTAATCGTGGTAGTTACCTTGCTGTCTATGGGAGGGTCAAAAAGCCCTCAGATTTCATCAAAAATATCTTAAATTGTGTTCCGAATTGTGTTTGGAACAACACGAGGGTGAGTAATTAATGACAGAATTTTCATTTTTGGGTGAACTAACCCTTTAAGATTCATGTGTGTGGGTGAACTTTCCTTTTCTTATTTTAAAATAGCATGTTGGAACTAGCATTGGCAAGCAGGTTTGGGCCCGGGTGTATTTGTTTGGTAAATAATAGCAGTATGCACTGAATACACCAGTCTTACCTTTGGCGTTTTGGTGCATTTCCCCGTTCTTGCATCTTTGATGTATGTGATGTCCAATAGATCTGTCTCCTGAAAAAGGGAGGGGCAGATTTTATGCCACAGCTCACAAAAACAACTTCATGCTGTTGAACCGAATCAATATTAAAAAATATTAGGTTAAATATCACAAAAGCCATTCAGATGTCACACGAGGCAACACAGCACGGGAAATGTTGACAGAGAAAACACTGATGGAAAAATCAAGAATAAATCATTAAACAGACATAAAACGTGGTGACTAACTCACGCGTGCAGATCTAGATCAAAGAAATGATCGGAAGACTCTCGTTAGAATACACTGGTAAGGAAATGATGCAGGGCCAGAGCGCCGCATTATTTGCGTCTGCAGTGTGTAATGAACATGCTGATGAATATGCTTTCTGACAGCTGCAGCAGAAACCAAAGCTGACGGTATTCTGCTGGCACGACTGAGCTACAACTGAGCTGGAACAAAACAAAGAGGCATTTGCTCCTTATACTCATTTATGCAACACAGCAATGATTGGAAGGTAAAAATAGAACATAATTTTTATGACAGTAAAACCTGAATGTCCTCATATGCTCCACAACTTATAACATTTGCAGCACATGGGAACTTGACACAACGGTACCCCTGTAATGTGACATCATACTCTAAAAACTAAACCACATTTTCCTAATGCATGCTGTTTTATGAGCTCATAGTAATTGATGGATACATAACTGCACTACATAAATATAAGCCAGGCCATATTTAAGCAATATCACATGAGCAAGTGCTGTTGTTTACGAATATGAGTATCACAAACAGCGCATTTCTTTTTACAACACTTTCTTAAACGAGAAGTTAATATCGATTAACTTACATTTGAACCACACTATCACCAGTTACAGTCTGTTTTTTGTTCCATCAGCGAAAAAAGTTCCTGACAAACACAACAGTGTATCTGAGAAAAATGACTGTAGTGGTGTTTTGTTTCGGGATGATCCAGCGAGTCAGTTGAGTGAACAATTCAATCACTCACTCATAAGAGCAGCTCTTTCTTTTTATTCCTGAATGAATCGGTATGTTTGAACGAATCGGTTGAATGAATGATTCACTGACTCCTGAATGAATCAGTGTTTTGAACGAATCAATTGAATTGAGTAGTCCCTTGCCGCTACTGGCATAACTTTCAGGATGAATTATTTTTAAATCTCCATACTAATACACAGACGAACAGTATGTCTGGAAGAACTAGATATCAGATATAATATGTTTAATTCAATATATATATATATATATATATTATGTATTCAACACATTATATCAGCTATATATCTGTGTTACTGTGCATTATTGTAAATTATTGGCCTTAAGAGTTGGGGTGCTTAGAGTCAGACTGCAATTATGAATGAACTAGGAACTTGACATGGACTCTGACATTTTGGACAAGAATTTTTCGTACAGACGAATCCACGTCATGTGTAACATGACTCAACTGGTTAAGAACTCGGACTTGACAAGGTGGATGCAGACCCAACACTACTGCCCTTTAAAAAAATCCATATCGGTGATCAAAAAACGAACACTATCTACTATGAGAAATTGACACAAATAACCCATTATATTTAAAGGTCCATCCATTTTCATTATTTCAATAATATATTTCTGTTGATTTCTAGACATTTTGGATGTGTTGCAATCCCCAGCCCTCACTGACACGCTTTTGTGTGTGTGACACACTTCTGAGAGGGCAGCAGACTGCAGGAGAATATACAAATATACATTTTTGAACTTTGACCTAAAACACTAACACAGGACAAGAAGCACGTCTCCTCTAATATTCACTCGGCCACGAGGTCATTCTCAACTCAACTCACATTTACTAACTTTGAAATGAAAACATCCAGAAATTACATTGATGGGAAACTGAACAATGCAAATATAAATTTGTGCATTTTCTGAACACGTGAAAGGTCCCTGCCTGCATGCAATTATGATGCAATGCAATGCAGTTGCTATTTTTTTTTTAGATATAGTTTCCCCATTTTATGACTATCTAATATTTATGATAATTGCAAGTGCGTGCCAAGGCTATCTGAATAATGAAAGCATCTCTCACTCAGCCGGTTCATCTATGAAAATCCACGTATGGTGGCGGGAGCTTCACCAGCGCCATGGCAACAGAGGATGGAGGTGGTCTATGATCGGGGAGTTGGGCTAAAGCAATTTGAAGACAGGCACCCTTGAAATCAGCTTGCAGAAGACGTCGCCAGCGAGCTCAGACTCCTGCTTCTGCACACACTGAAAATCCATTGAGACTACATGATCAAATATCTGTTAGTTCAGCAGAGCAAACCGCACTCTGTTGACTCTCCATCCACAGAAAACTCACAAACCTGCTACTAGATTCAATAATGGAGCCGGTTGTAAGTGACTGTCATGATTTGCTCGACTCTCACTGGCGACAATCCGGCCTGCAGTGCTGCTAAATATAGAAACTCATGTATTGATTTAAATACATGCTTGGTTTGCAAAACAATACATGATGCTATTATATTACTATTGGCTAGAGGCGCCTGTTCTGGAATTCGGAGAGAATTTTTTGGACAGGAAAAACTGTCAGGTTTACTTTTTATTGCTTTCATTGATTGGCAAGTAGATTGTTATAAAAGAAAAAAAAGAGGGTGAAACCTGTCCAGCATGAGTCCAAGCCATATTTCATCCCAAAAAGAAAAGGTAATAAATGATATATTGTATTAAAAAATGTAAAAAAAAAAAAGGCTCATATAAGGGCCATTAAGATTGTATTGCATATATATATATATATATATACACACACACACACACACACATATATATATATACACACATACACACACAAAACTACTCAAATTTTAACAAAAGAAAAATGAAAATGAAAAATGTAAAAATAAAAACTGATTCAAAATATTTAAAAACTATATAGTATCTTAATAATACAAAAAAAAACACTAGACAGGATAACAAACACTACCATGCATTTTTAAAACTTAACTTATATTTGTTATTCTGCATTTGTATTTTTCCTATTTTTATTTAAAAAAAATGTATAATCAATCAATAAATATATATAAATAAAATATAAAAAAATGAGGTAATAAATTATATTTTGCCCATACATATACTGTATATAAGCCCATTAACATTTTATTTCATCATGATATTATTTTCAATTGTGTGACAATTAAGCACATTTTACATCCTAACTTTTCATATATATATACACACACACACACACACACACTCATATACATATACACAATGTGACCTGGAAAATATTTTCGTTTCAGCCTAAATCAATATCTATGTATTTTGGGAGTCCATCACAATTAGCAACGTTTTATTCAATACCATCTGGTATCTGAAGATTGAGTCACTCAGATGAATATTATTCTGATGTTACTCACTGCTGCTTTCACAAACTGACATGAGAAATGACATGCTAAAGTTTGCTGTTATACACTTGCACTCGACTGAACCATAATTGATTCTCTTATATAAAAGGGCAAGAGGAGAGCAGAGGGTGTTATATGCTGCCAAATCCACATTCAACTCATATGACCTCACTTCCTGTTGAGTTCACACTCAGAGCTGTGATGTCGTCCAGGTCACATTTTACCTTGAATCAAAGTAAAATAAATGAATAAATGAATTTGAAAAATGTATAAATTAATAAATTAGAAAATAATAAATAAATTAGAAAAATATATTAGAAAAATAAATAAATAAATTAGAAAAATAAATAAATAAATTAGAAAAATACATAAATAAATTAGAACAATAAATAAATAATTTAGAACAATAAATAAATAATTTAGAAAAATAAATAAATAATTTAGAAAAATAAATAAATAATTTAGAAAAATAAATAAATAATTTAGAAAAATAAATAAATAATTTAGAAAAATAAATAAATAATTTAGAAAAATAAATACCCCTGTAATGTGACATCATACTCTAAAAACTAAACCACATTTTCCTAATGCATGCTGTTTTATGAGCTCATAGTAATTGATGGATACATAACTGCACTACATAAATATAAGCCAGGCCATATTTAAGCAATATCACATGAGCAAGTGCTGTTGTTTACGAATATGAGTATCACAAACAGCGCATTTCTTTTTACAACACTTTCTTAAACGAGAAGTTAATATCGATTAACTTACATTTGAACCACACTATCACCAGTTACAGTCTGTTTTTTGTTCCATCAGCGAAAAAAGTTCCTGACAAACACAACAGTGTATCTGAGAAAAATGACTGTAGTGGTGTTTTGTTTCGGGATGATCCAGCGAGTCAGTTGAGTGAACAATTCAATCACTCACTCATAAGAGCAGCTCTTTCTTTTTATTCCTGAATGAATCGGTATGTTTGAACGAATCGGTTGAATGAATGATTCACTGACTCCTGAATGAATCAGTGTTTTGAACGAATCAATTGAATTGAGTAGTCCCTTGCCGCTACTGGCATAACTTTCAGGATGAATTATTTTTAAATCTCCATACTAATACACAGACGAACAGTATGTCTGGAAGAACTAGATATCAGATATAATATGTTTAATTCAATATATATATATATATATATATTATGTATTCAACACATTATATCAGCTATATATCTGTGTTACTGTGCATTATTGTAAATTATTGGCCTTAAGAGTTGGGGTGCTTAGAGTCAGACTGCAATTATGAATGAACTAGGAACTTGACATGGACTCTGACATTTTGGACAAGAATTTTTCGTACAGACGAATCCACGTCATGTGTAACATGACTCAACTGGTTAAGAACTCGGACTTGACAAGGTGGATGCAGACCCAACACTACTGCCCTTTAAAAAAATCCATATCGGTGATCAAAAAACGAACACTATCTACTATGAGAAATTGACACAAATAACCCATTATATTTAAAGGTCCATCCATTTTCATTATTTCAATAATATATTTCTGTTGATTTCTAGACATTTTGGATGTGTTGCAATCCCCAGCCCTCACTGACACGCTTTTGTGTGTGTGACA